TACTGTTACTACTACTGTTACTACTACTGTCATTACTACTACTGTCATTATTATTACTACTACTACTGTTACTACTACTACTGTTACTACTACTGTTACTACTACTGTCATTATTATTACTACTACTACTGTTACTACTACTGTCACTACTACTGTCATTACTACTACTGTTACTACTGTCATTATTACTACTACTACTGTTACTACTACTGGTACTACTACTGTCATTATTATTACTACTACTGTTACTACTACTGTTACTACTACTGTCATTATTATTACTACTACTACTGTTACTACTACTGTCATTATTATTACTACTGTTACTACTACTGTTACTACTACTGGTACTACTACTGTCATTATTATTACTACTACTGTTACTACTACTGTTACTACTACTGTCATTATTATTACTACTACTGTTACTACTACTGTTACTACTACTGTTACTACTACTGTCATTATTATTACTACTACTGTTACTACTACTGTCATTATTATTACTACTACTGTTACTACTACTGTTACTACTACTACTGTCATTATTATTACTACTACTGTTACTACTACTGTTACTACTACTGTCATTATTACTACTACTGTTACTACTACTGTCACTACTACTGTTACTACTACTGTTACTACTACTGTCATTATTATTACTACCACTGTTACTACTACTGTTACTACTACTGTCATTATTATTACTACTACTACTGTTACTACTACTGTCACTACTACTGTTACTACTACTGTTACTACTACTGTCATTATTATTACTACTACTGTTATTACTACTGTCATTATTATTACTACTACTACTGTTACTACTACTGTTACTACTACTGTTACTACTACTGTCATTATTACTACTACTGTTACTACTACTGTCATTATTATTACTACTACTGTTACTACTACTGTTACTACTACTGTCATTATTACTACTACTACTGTTACTACTACTGGTACTACTACTGTCATTATTATTACTACTACTGTTACTACTACTGTTACTACTACTGTCATTATTACTACTACTACTGTTACTACTACTGTTACTACTACTGTTACTACGACTGTCATTATTATTACTACTACTACTGTTACTACTACTGTTACTACTACTGTCATTATTATTACTACTACTGTTACTACTACTGGTACTACTACTGTCATTATTATTACTAATACTACTGTTACTACTACTGTTACTACTACTGTCATTATTACTACTACTGTTACTACTACTGTTACTATTACTGTTACTACTACTGTCATTATTATAACTACTACTGTTACTACTACTGTTACTACTACTGTCATTATTATTACTACTACTGTTACTACTACTGTTACTACTACTGTCATTATTATTACTACTACTGTTACTACTACTGTTACTACTACTGTCATTATTATTACTACTACTGTTACTACTACTGATACTACTACTGTCATTATTATTACTAATACTACTGTTACTACTACTGTCATTATTACTACTACTGTTACTATTACTGTTACTACTACTGTCATTATTATAACTACTACTGTTACTACTACTGTTACTACTACTGTCATTATTATTACTACTACTGTTACTACTACTGTTACTACTACTGTTACTACTACTGTCATTATTATTACTACTACTGTTACTATTACTGTTACTACTACTGTCATTATTATTACTGTCATTATTATTACTACTACTGTTACTATTACTGTTACTACTACTGTTACTACTACTGTCATTATTATTACTGCTACTACTGTTAGTACTACTGTTACTACTACTGTTACTACTACTGTTACTACTACTGTTACTACTACTGTCATTATTATTACTACTACTGTTAGTACTACTGTTACTACTACTGTTACTACTACTGTTACTACTACTGTCATTATTATTACTACTACTGTTACTACTACTGTTACTACTACTGTCATCATTATTACTACTACTGTTACTACTACTACTGTTACTACTACTGTCATCATTATTACTACTACTGTTACTACTACTGTTACTACTACTGTTACTACTACTGTAATTATTACTACTACTACTGTTACTACTACTGTCATTATTATTACTACTACTGTTACTACTACTGTTACTACTACTGTCATTATTATTACTACTACTGTTACTACTACTGTTACTACTACTGTCATTATTATTACTACTACTGTTACTACTACTGTTACTACTACTGTCATTATTATTACTACTACTGTTACTACTACTGTCATTATTATTACTACTACTGTTACTACTACTGTCATTATTATTACTACTACTACTACTGTTACTACTACTGTTACTACTACTGTCATTATTATTATTATTATTACTACTACTGTTACTACTACTGTTACTACTACTGTTACTACTACTGTCATTATTACTACTACTACTGTTACTACTACTGTTTCTACTACTGTCATTATTATTACTACTACTACTGTTACTACTACTGTCACTACTACTGTTACTACTACTGTTACTACTACTGTCATTATTATTACTACTACTGTTACTACTACTGTTACTACTACTGTCATTATTATTACTACTACTACTGTTACTACTACTGTCACTACTACTGTTACTACTACTGTTACTACTACTGTCATTATTATTATTACTACTGTTACTACTACTGTCATTATTATTATTACTACTACTGTTACTACTACTGTTACTACTACTACTGTTACTACTACTGTCATTATTACTACTACTACTGTTACTACTACTGTTACTACTACTGTCATTATTATTACTACTACTACTGTTACTACTACTGTCACTACTACTGTTACTACTACTGTTACTACTACTGTCATTATTATTACTACTACTGTTACTACTACTGTTACTACTACTGTCATTATTATTACTACTACTACTGTTACTACTACTGTCACTACTACTGTTACTACTACTGTTACTACTACTGTCATTATTATTACTACTACTGTTACTACTACTGTCATTATTATTACTACTACTACTGTTACTACTACTGTTACTACTACTGTTACTACTACTGTCATTATTACTACTACTGTTACTACTACTGTCATTATTATTACTACTACTGTTACTACTACTGTCATTATTATTACTACTACTACTACTGTTACTACTACTGTTACTACTACTGTTACTACTACTGTTACTACTACTGTCATTATTATTACTACTACTGTTACTACTACTGTCATTATTACTACTACTTTTACTACTACTGTCATTATTACTACTACTGTTACTACTACTGTCATTATTATTATTACTACTACTGTTACTACTACTGTTACTACTACTGTTACTACTACTGTTACTACTACTGTCATTATTACTACTACTACTGTTACTACTACTGTTACTACTACTGTCATTATTATTACTACTACTACTGTTACTACTACTGTCACTACTACTGTTACTACTACTGTTACTACTACTGTCATTATTATTACTACTATTGTTACTACTACTGTTACTACTACTGTCATTATTATTACTACTACTACTGTTACTACTACTGTCACTACTACTGTTACTACTACTGTTACTACTACTGTCATTATTATTACTACTACTGTTACTACTACTGTCATTATTATTACTACTACTACTACTGTTACTACTACTGTTACTACTACTGTCATTATTACTACTACTGTTACTACTACTGTCATTATTATTATTACTACTACTGTTACTACTACTGTTACTACTACTGTTACTACTACTGTCATTATTACTACTACTACTGTTACTACTACTGTTACTACTACTGTCATTATTATTACTACTACTACTGTTACTACTACTGTTACTACTACTGTTACTACTACTGTCATTATTATTACTATACTGTTACTACTACTGTTACTACTACTGTCATTATTATTATTACTACTACTGTTACTACTACTGTTACTACTACTGTTACTACTACTGTCATTATTACTACTACTACTGTTACTACTACTGGTACTACTAATGTCATTATTATTACTACTACTGTTACTACTACTGTTACTACTACTGTCATTATTACTACTACTACTGTTACTACTACTGTTACTACTACTGTTACTACGACTGTCATTATTATTACTACTACTGTTACTACTACTGGTACTACTACTGTCATTATTATTACTACTACTGTTACTACTACTGTTACTACTACTGTCATTATTACTACTACTACTGTTACTACTACTGTTACTACTACTGTTACTACGACTGTCATTATTATTACTACTACTGTTACTACTACTGTTACTACTACTGTCATTATTATTACTACTACTGTTACTACTACTGGTACTACTACTGTCATTATTATTACTAATACTACTGTTACTACTACTGTTACTACTACTGTCATTATTACTACTACTGTTACTACTACTGGTACTATTACTGTTACTACTACTGTCATTATTATAACTACTACTGTTACTACTACTGCCATTATTATTACTATACTGTTACTACTACTGTTACTACTACTGTCATTATTATTACTACTACTACTGTTACTACTACTACTGTTACTACTACTACTGTTACTACTACTGTCATTATTATTATTACTACTACTACTGTTACTACTACTGTTACTACTACTGTCATTATTACTACTACTACTGTTACTACTACTACTGTTACTACTACTGTTACTACTACTACTGTTACTACTACTGTTACTACTACTGTCATTATTATTACTACTACTACTGTTACTACTACTACTGTTACTACTACTGTTACTACTACTGTCATCATTACTACTACTACTGTTACTACTACTGTTACTACTACTGTTACTACTACTGTCATTATTATTACTACTACTGTTACTACTACTACTGTTACTACTACTGTCATTATTACTGTTACTACTACTGTTACTACTACTGTTACTACTACTGTTACTACTACTGTCATTATTACTACTACTGTTACTACTACTGTTAATACTACTGTCATTATTATTATCATTATCAGAATTGCAGGATTATTTAAACAATGTCGACGTGTTAGAAAAAGCGAAATGATGGACGACAACCACCCTCGCAAAACACAACAGCGTCGCTAGGGGCAACAACAGCGTCGCTAGGGGCAACAACAGCGTCGCTAGGGGCAACAATAGCGTCGCTAGGGGCCACAACAGCGTCGCTAGGGGCAACAACAGCGTCGCTAGGGGCAACAACAGCGTCACTAGAGGCAACAACAGCGTCACTGGAGGCGACAACACTGCCCCTAGAGGCGACAACAGTGTCACTAGAGGCGACAACAGCGTCACTAGGAGCAACAACAGCATCGCTAGGGGCAATAACAGCGTCACTAGAGGCAACAACAGCGTCGCTAGAGGCGACAACAGCGTCACTAGAGGCGACAACAGCGTCGCTAGAGGCAACAACAGCGTCACTAGAGGCGACAACAGCGTCATTAGAGGCGACAACAGCATCACTAGAGGCAACAACAGCGTCACTAGAGGCGACAACAGCGTCGCTAGAGGCGACAACAGTGCTACTAGAGGCGACAACAGCGTCACTAGAGGCAACAACAGTGCCCCTAGAGGCGACAACAGCGTCGCTAGAGGTGACAACAGTGTCACTAGAGGCGACAACAGCGTCACTAGAGGCGACAACAGCGTCACTAGGGGCAACAACAGCGCCCCTAGAGGCGACAACAGCGCCCCTAGAGGCGACAACAGCGTCACTAGAGGCGACAACAGCGCCCCTAGAGGCGACAACAGCGTCGCTAGAGGCGACAACAGCGTCGCTAGAGGCGACAACAGCGTCACTAGAGGTGACAACAGCGTCACTAGAGGCGACAACAGCGTCGCTAGAGGCAACAACAGCGCCCCTAGAGGCGACAACAGTGCCGCTAGAGGCGACAACAGCGCCGCTAGAGGCAACAACAGCGCCACTAGAGGCAACAACAGCGTCACTAGAGAGCTAACAACAGCGCCCCTAGAGGCGACAACAGCGTCACTAGAGGCGACAACAGCGTCGCTAGAGGCGACAACAGCGCCCCTAGAGAGGCGACAACAGCGCGCGTCGGTCTGACCGAAGAGGAAGCTTCCCAGGAGGCCGAGCACGACGACGGCCAGGGTGCCCACGGCGCTGAAGTAGAGGTATGAGAGCGAGTACCAGCTGTCAGCCAGTGCCGGCCTGGCGGGCGGGGGCGAGGGCGGGGGTGGCACACACGCGCACAATCATCGTCATCATCGTCACGAGTAACCCACGGAGGCGGCGTGTCTGCGGGGGGCGTGGCCGAGGAGTCGTCCTGGCGGTTGCTCCTAGCCGGCCATCGTCGTCGTGGTGATGGTGGTGGTGGTGATGACGGTGATGGTGGTGGTGGTGATGGTGGTGGTGATGGTGGTGGTGGTGGCGTGCATCCCAGAGACCTACCCGCCAACCCCCATCGTCGTTCTACCGTGGTGACCTGGGCGACTCGAGCAACCCACGAGGATCTTGACTCCCTGCCGGGTGTCCTCGAGGAGTCATTGTGGTGGTTGCCCGCAGTCGTCGTCATCGTCGTCGTCGTCATCATCATCGTCGTCGTCGTCACCGACGACGACTTTTTGTGGTGGTCGGTTTGTTTCCCGTGAGCGCGGAGCCACGTGCTGACCGCTCCTAAAGGCCGACTCAGCCTCGTTTGCGGTGTGTAAAAATCATCGCCACTTGGGAAGACAAAGGCGGCCGGGCGTGGTGCTGGCCACCCACCCCATTCGTGTACCCTGCTCGCTAACAGCACTTGCCCATGCAGTCTGTTACAGGCGACACGGGGGTGGCGAGGTGTATTGAAAAATGTTGATGCCGCTACTGATACTCCTGCTGTTATGGAGTGACTCATGCAGCCAGCTATGGCTGCAAAGTTTGGTCGTACATGTCACGTGTATCGCTTATCGTTCAATTTGAATCGCAGTTCCTATGATCACCGCCACGTTGTTTTTTCTCGCTTCATTTCGGTGATTTCGAAGACGTTTTGGTTTAGCCACGTTTGTTTGTTGTGGTACAGCGTTAGCCAGGTAACTTTCATCTAAATTGTCTTGTGGTTGTTATTGTTTGACTTACATGCCACTGGGATTTTTTTTGCACACAGCGTTGAAATTCGGTGTTTGATCTGGAAGACTTTGGCCGTTTATTTTCCCCCCGCGGTCAACTTTAAGATGTTTTCTTGATCGTGTTTTTGTTTTTGTTGCGTTTGCACCCGAGTCAAAGAGCCGCACAGCTCACAGGGTTATACCTAATACACGAAACCGCAAAACTCAAATGAGTGCGTGCAAATGGCAAGTCCTCGTTGAGGTCTGTGAAGCCAACGCGAATGAGCTCCCAGGAGTAGCGCGGCTAAGACTCCGCCCGGTCCGCAGGAGAGCGCGCGTAGGGTGAAAGTTTGCCCGCAACGTGGTGCCAATTGTCTGGTTCGGGGCGGCCGCGGTACCAACTGTGGGCTTTGCCTTTTCATTCTCCACTCGCCGGAAGGACGAGGTCGAGGTCGTGCGCGCAGAGGCGCGTTGCTGTCGCGCAACTGTTGATGGAGCACCGAAGTTTCCCCGGGCAGATCAAAGCCCTGCCTGGCAAAAAAAAACACCGTGGAGGGATGTAGACGCGACTTTCATTTGGAATGTCCACACAAGCTTCACAGTCTAACACGTGGTGGTGGTGGTGGCGGCGGCGGGCAGGCTTTCGCGGCCAAAAAATATTATTCGTGAATGAAGGTTTGTGGGGTTACATCGCGCGAGTATGAATGTTGTGTCGAAGGCCCTCCGCCAGCCTGACACGGCCAAGCGGTAATGGATTTGTCACGTTAACAAAACGCGCCAATTAGTTACTAGTGTAGTGTCGTGTGTAGTGCAGTGTATAGTGTGTAGTGCAGTGTATAGTGTAGTGTACTGTATAGTGTAGTGTATAGTGTAGTGTATAGTGTAGTGTATAGTGTAGTGTGGTGTGTAATGCAGTGCATAGTGTAGTGTGTAGTGTAGTGTGTAGTGTATAGTGTGGTGTGTAGTGCAGTGTATAGTGTAGTGTATAGTGTAGTGTATAGTGTAGTGTATAGTGTAGTGTATAGTGCAGTGTATAGTGTAGTGTATAGTGTAGTGTATAGTGTAGTGTGTAGTGCAGTATATAGTATAGTGTAGTGTGTAGTGTATAGTGCAGTGTATAGTGTAGTGTATAGTGTAGTGTATAGTGTTGTGTATAGTGTAGTGTATAGTGCAGTGTATAGTGTAGTGTATAGTGTAGTGTATAGTGTAGTGTATAGTGCAGTGTATAGTGTAGTGTATAGTGTAGTGTATAGTGTAGTGTATAGTGCAGTGTATAGTGTAGTGTATAGTGTAGTGTATAGTGTAGTGTACTACTTCAGCCCACCGGTGTGTTTGAAGCGTGAATCCACCACGTTTACAATTTGAGTACAGTGACGTTTCGCTGGGAAATTACATCCAGCATCACCCGCGAAACGTCGTACTCAAATTGTACATGTTGCGGATTCACTCAACACACCGGTGGGCTGAAGCAGTACACGATTTGGCGTTTTGTTTAATTGACAAACCCCTCACTGATCTAACCCCAAAAAACCCTTGTTATGAAACTCCATAGTCTTCTTTGGTTCTTTCGGTAAAGTCACCACGTAGAATGAGAATAAAATAATAAATTAATATAATAAAATAAAATATCACTAAAATTCTCACGACGTTTCGGCCACAACACAAGCGGCCTTCTTCAGGTGAAAGGAACAGACCCGTCGGGACGACAGAGCTTCAACTTGAAGCTCTGTCGTCATTGAAGGCCGCTTGTGTTGTGGCCGAAACGTCGTGAGAATTTTATTGTGTTATTTTATTAACTTATTATTTTATTCTCATTCTACGTGGTGATTTTACCGAAAGAACCAAAGAAGATGAATCCTTGCAGTCACGAAAGCTTTAAATCGAGATTTAAACTCCACAGTGTTCGCCGACCGTCTTCAATTGATTACCGCTTCATCCGATTGCCTCGCACGATCCCAGATCGCTTTCCGGGGACTGCAAACGCGTTCGCGAAGGATCGAGCTGGTCCTTGTCGTAACGGTGAATGCACATTGCCTCGGACTATTCCCCAAAACCCCAGTAGGTTTGCATCTCGCTGCATCACTGACGGAGGGTCTTTTGCCGTCGCAATGTTGAACGGGCGCACTGTGGCGACCTTCAGTGGGTGGGCCAGCGAGTGAGCCTTGTGATCGAGTGGGCGAGCGGGCGTTCGAGGTGCCGGTGATTCTGTGGATTGCACGAGATGGAACACGTGTCCTCGCAGAGCCGAGCGAACGGTGGCGGTGGTGTGCGCGCCGTGACGAAAGTTGGGCCGCTGACAGCCGATCGCCTTTTAGAATGGGTCACTTGACGGCTCGTCCTCAAGCCAGGGTCGACGGGCGGTCGGGATTCAACGAGTGAACGAATCGACGCGGCTCAGATCTTACGGCATAGACGACCGGGAGTCGCGGCAGCAGCAGCAGCAGTAGTAGTAGTAGTCCCGTCAAGGTCTTGCTATTTGCAGAGCCGTAAAAAACCCCAAAATGTTGCCCAGCCGTGTGTTTATTTTGTGTTTTTTTTATTGCCGTTGCATTAACGCGCATGCAGACATTGGCCAGAACGGGGCCATAAACGTCGATCGTAAAAGCCAATCGACGTCTTGACCCCAGTCTCTTGCCTCGCGTGTTCACTCCCCCACTCCCCATTGGTATCCAACCTCTGTGTGTCACTCAGTGTCCTTCACGGTGACCTCCTCCACCCTGCACACCACGTGACCCACCCATCACCACCTCAACCCTGCACACCACGTGCCTCACCCATCACCACCTCCTCCTCCACCCTGCACACCACGTGTCCCACCCATCACCACCTCCTTCACCCTGCACACCACGTGTCTCACCCATCACTACCTCCTCCACCCTGGTCACCACGTGTCTCACCCATCACCACCTCCACCCTGCACACCACGTGTCTCACCCATCACTACCTCCTCCTGCACCCTGCACACCACGTGTCTCACCCATCACCTCCTCCTCCACCCAGCACACCACGTGTCTCACCCATCACCACCTCCTCCTCCACCCACCACACCACGTGTCCCACCCATCACTACCTCCTCCACCCTGCACACCACGTGTCCCACCCATCACTACCTCCTCCACCCACCACACCACGTGTCTCACCCATCACCACCTCCTCCACCCACCACACCACGTGTCCCACCCATCATCACCTCCTCCTCCTCCACCCACCACACCACGTGTCCCACCCATCACAATCACCTCATCCTTTTCCCAACCTCAAAGCAGCTGTAAATCCCTTCCTCTTCAAAGGTGGATTTCTTTAACCAGGTGAGAACCCAAGAGAGACCGGTCAGAAGAGTGACATTTTTGCCGATGAACGCTGCTACTGTGTAGATCCAGCCTAGGAGACCCCCAGTGGCAGCTGCCCCTGTGCATCAGTCTGCCAGCAAGGGGGTGGGGGGAGGGGGCGATGTTACCGATGTGTGGTCTGGCCTAGGGCACCTCCAGTGACGGCTTCGATGGTCACTGAGGTAGGCAGTGGTGACTGGAGGCTGAGACCGTCAAACTCACCACCCTCGAAGAACCCGGACTGAATCCGCATCCGAGCAACGGTGATCTCAGCGGCGACAGCTAACCCCCTCTTTTGTTTTCCACTGGCACATCCGAGCCGTGTTGTTGGCCGTGCTGAGGTGGTCCTGGGTGGCTCAAGAGTTGTCCACTCCCTCACCCCCCCCCCCCGCTGTTCCGCTAACGTGGCACGCGTTGTGTGATGTCGAGACACTTGGCTAACAGAAAATAAAGACAAATATCCCCGTATAGCCTTTGAACAGTCTGTTGGGGGCAAGTGCCGTTAGTGAACACTTATTAAAGCCGGCATGGCACATATAAGGCGGTTAGGTGGTCAACACCACCCCAGGCCGCCTTTGTCTCCACCAGTGGCGATGTTTATTACACACCGCACCAGGTACTCGTTTGAGGCTGAGTCGACCTAGGGGAGGCCCCACGACCGGTTCGGATAATCGTCGGTGATGTTGGCCGCGAGCGGGAATCGAACCGGTCCTGGGCCTCCTCTAGGTCGACTCAGACTCAAAAATGAGGAACCTGGTGCGGTGTGTAGTAAACATCGCCACTGGTGGAGACAAAGGCGGCCGGGCGTGGTGCTGAACCACCCTCCCCCTCGTGTGCCGTGCCGGCCTTCATAGGTGCTGCTACTCGCTAAGAGCACTTGCCCCTGCAGTTTGTTACAGGCTACACGGGGGATCTTTGTCTTGTTGCGAGGGTGAATGGATGCTGCTGTGGGGTTGTTATTGATGGACTCGCGAGCCAAAGGTGCAAATTTGTCAATCCCCACGACCCCCCTTCGCCCACGTGAAGTTTCGGGCGGGCAGGCCACGTGTGGTGGTGGTGGTGGTGGGGTAAAGTGTGGGTAGCTCTCTAGCTACGACGGCTGGCCCAGAGTGGATGAAGTACGTGTGTGTGTGTATCTGGTGGGGGGGGTGGTGGTGGGGGGGTGGTGGGGGGGGGTGGTGGTGGGGGGTGGTGGTGGGGGGTGGTGATGGGGGGTGGTGGTGGGGGGGTGGTGGTGGGGGGTGGTGGTGGGGGGGTGGTGGTGGGTGGGAGGTGGTGGGCAGGTGGTGGTGGTGGGGGGTGGTGGTGGGGGCGTGGTATGGTGGTGGTGGGGGGTGGTGTTGGTCGGGTGGGGTGGTGGTGGTGTTGGTGGTGTAGTGGTGGTGGTACGGGGTGTTGGTGTGGTGGTGTTGGGGGGATGGTGGTGGTTGGGGGGGTGGGTGGTGTTGGTGTGGTGGTGGGCTGGTGGGCTGGTGGTGTCTGCGCCTGTGGACTCGCCTGCCGTGACCAGCGGGCGAGGAGGCGTGCACGGTGCCGTTGCTCAGCGTCGCGTTGAGGAGGCAGCCGGCCGTGGACAGCGCGAGGGGCATCGTCCTGATGGCCTGCGGCGGGTAGATCTGAGCGCCGACCCCCAGCCACAGCGAGAGGGCGAAGCCCAGCGCCAGACCCACGAGGGCACCCTGCGAGCGGCCGGAGCGTACAATGACGGCAGGCAGGCAGGCGACCAGCAGCAGCAGCAGCAGGAGCAGCAGCAGAGAGCAGGTGCAGCAGGAGCAGGGACAGCAGCAGCAGCAGCAGAAAGAAGGAGCAGGAGCAGTAGGGACAGCAGTAGAGAGAGTAGCGGCAGTAGCAGCAGCAGGAGCAGCAGCAGAGAGCAGGTGCAGCAGGAGCAGGGACAGCAGCAGCAGCAGCAGAAAGAAGGAGCAGGAGCAGTAGGGACAGCAGTAGAGAGAGTAGCGGCAGTAGCAGCAGCAGGAGCAGCGGGAGCAGCAGCAGCAGGAGCAGCAGTTGGGGAGGGGGGGGGGAGTAGCAGTAGCAGCAGCAGCAGGGGCAGGTTCATGATTCACGTTTTCATTTTGTGTATTCAGGGGCGAGCTCAAAATGCCAGGAGAGCCTCGCTTGGAAGAACGACTGGTTGCGTGGAGTTCATGAATACGTGTGGATCCATGAATGATTGGGGGAGCGAGATGGTGGGTGAGTGCATGAATGAGTGGGTGAATGAAATGGTGAGTCAGATGGTGGGTGAGTGCATGCATGAGTGGGTGAATGAGATGGCGGGTGAGTGCATGAATGAGTGGGTGAATTAGATGTTGGGTGAGTGCATGAATGAGTGGAGGAATGAAATGGTGAGTCAGATGGTGGGTGAGTGCATGAATGAGTGGGTGAATGAAATGGTGAGTCAGATGGTGGGTGAGTGCATGAATGAGTGGGTGAATGAGATGGTGGGCGAGTGCATGAATGAGTGGGTGAATGAGATGGTGGGTGAGTGCATGAATGAGTGGGTGAATGAGATGATGGGTGAGTGCATGAATGATTGGGTGAATGAGTAGGTGAGTCAGATGGTGTGTGAGTGCGTGAATGAGCGGGCGAGTGAGATGGGTGAGTGAGTGAATCAGTGGGTGGGTGCATGAATGAGCGGGCGAGTCAGATGGGTGGGTGAGTGCATGAGCGGTGGGTGAGTCAGATGGGTGGGTGAGTGGTTAAGTGATTGAGTGAGTGAGTGAGATGGCGAGCGAACGAGCTGGTGATCGTGTTGAACCGAATGAGAGCAAACTCAAAAAGAGTCTCGTGCGCGAGAGTGACTTCGGGTCACCAGAATTAGCGGAGCCAAAATCAAAATCAAACATCAGGACCGCAGTGAAGGAAACCATGAACCGGAGCGGGAAGCATCGCACACACGTGAATCCGTTTCGAATACCGCGACAAATTTCACCGCAGCGACATTCGGCTCGGGCATTCGATCATAACAATCGCAGCAGCTGAATTTTTTTTTAATATATAAAGCTATTTAACTACATATTCTTAGCTCTTTCGGTAAAGTCACGTTGAAGGGAAACAATAAAATAATAAAAAATATATATAAAACAATAAAAATTCTCACGACGTTTCGACCGTAACGCAAACGGTCATCATCAGGTGTGTGGGCGAGCCGTTGGTTGTTTTTTTTTCACACCTGATGATGACCGTTTGCGTTACGGTCGAAACGTCGTGAGAATTTTTTTTATTGTTTTATATATATTTTATTGTTTTATTGTTTCCCTTCAACGTGACTTTACCGAAAGAGCTAAGAATATGAATTACTGCAGTCACGAAAGCTTTGAATCAAAATTTATTTAACTACACTCTTTGGTTCTGTCGGTAAAGTCACGTGGGTAAAAATGTAAAATAAAAAAATGAGAAACAACTATAAACAAATCACGACGTTGCGGAGGCAACACAAGCTTCCGTCATCAGGTGTGACTGTTGCCAAGGGGATCGCTTGTGCTGCGCCCGAAACGTCGTGACTTAATTTATTTTATTTTATACCTTACGTGACTTTACCGAAAGAGCCAAAGAGTGTGGATTCCTTGCAGTCACGAAAACTTCAAATCTAGAACTATTTAACTCTTTACATTTTATTTTTGCAGGTAAGGCCCACTGAGCAATGGAGCCCTTTTTCAGAAGCGACCCTGCTAATCACGAACGACAGCTCAATCGAAGTGGCTTGGAGAGAGAGAGGAACGACTCTGAGAGAGAGAGAGAGGACGACTCTGAGAGAGAGAGGAACGACATGCAGAGAGAGAAACAGAGCACGACTCTGAGAGAGAGAAACAGAGGACGACTCTGAGAGAGAGAGAGAGGAACGACTCGGAGAGAGGGAAACAGAGGACGACTCTGAGAGAGAGAGGACGACTCTGAGAGAGAGAGGAACGACTCTGAGAGAGAGGATGACTCTGAGAGAGAGAGTGGACGACTCTGAGAGAGAGAGGAACGACATGCAGAGAGAGAAACAGAGGACGACTCTGAGAGCGAGAGAGAGGAACGACTCTGAGAGATAGAAACAGAGGACGACTCTGAGAGAGAGAGGAACGACACGCAGAGAGAGAAACAGGACGACTCTGAGAGAGAGAGAGGGGAGAAAGAGGGCAGAGAGGGGGTAGAGAGAGAGGGAAGGGAGGAGGAGAACAGAGCGTGCAATCTTTCGTGAAATATTTCATTTTAAAAGGGGGGGGGGGGTGTTACATAAAGAAAAGCATTGAAAAAAACAAAACGAAACGAAATGATGAACGAAGCAAAGTGCCGACTACACCGAGCATCTTCTTGTTTCCTCTGATCGTAAACAAAAGAGAGAGAGGGTGGACGACTCGGGGAGAGAGAGAAACAGAGGACGACTCGGAAAGAGAGAGGACGACTCTGAGAGAGGGAGAGAGAAAGAGTGTGGACGACTCGGAGAGAGAGAGTGGACGACTCTTAGAGAGAGACGACTCAGAGAGCGATGAATTGAGGATGACTCAGAGAGAGAGAAAAACAGAGGACGACTCTGAGAGAGAGAGGGTGGACGACTCGGGGAGAGAGAGAAACAGAGGACGACTCGGAAAGAGAGAGGACGACTCTGAGAGAGGGAGAGAGAAAGAGTGTGGACGACTCGGAGAGAGAGAGTGGACGACTCTTAGAGAGAGACGACTCAGAGAGCGATGAATTGAGGATGACTCAGAGAGAGAGAAAAACAGAGGACGACTCTGAGAGAGAGAGGGTGGACGACTCGGGGAGAGAGAGAAACAGAGGACGACTCGGAAAGAGAGAGGACGACTCTGAGAGAGGGAGAGAGAAAGAGTGTGGACGACTCGGAGAGAGAGAGTGGACGACTCTTAGAGAGAGACGACTCAGAGAGCGATGAATTGAGGATGACTCAGAGAGAGAGAAAAACAGAGGACGACTCTGAGAGAGAGAGGGTGGACGACTCGGGGAGAGAGAGAAAGAGAGACAGAGAGGACGAGGAGAAGGAACCACGGATTAGCGGGAAGGCGGCAGCAGCAGCCACGCGGCGAGTAGCCGGTGCCTCAATCCCCTCCCCCAATCTCTGCCGTTCTCTACATATGAAGGTGTTTCACGACCAATGGACGAGTGGCGTATCATCTTGATTCGAAGCTTTCGTGACTGCAGGAATCCATACCCGTTCCGTCTGTACTGGAGGATAGAGCGTTGCCCCCACGTGGGAGGAAATCCGAAGCACCCGGGGGGAAAACTCACGCGCGCAAGGGGGCAACGCTCTATATCCTCCAATACAGACGGAGCGGATGGAGTCCCACATTTTTTTTGCCGGTAAAGCCGCGATCTCCTGGCGAGCCCAGGGCACGGCGTCTCGCCGACGCCCACGGGAGCTTCACGACACCTGTGTGCCTCTGCGTGCGTGCGTGCGCGTGTGATCCACCAACCCCCGTCGCCTTACACTGCTGACTTTACAGGGCGCGTTGCCTAGCGCACCGCAGACTGTTTGGGGCGAGCGCTGTGAGCAAGGGCCTATAGAGGGCCGGCATTGTCTCCAGCATCACGCCTGACCGCCTTTGTCCCCCTAGTTGCTGATGTTCACACACCGCACCTGTGTGTGTGTGTGTGTGACCCTCGTTGGCTCCACAACGTGGATCAGAGGCCACGTGCGTAGCCATCACCACCACTCAATCATTCACCTACCCCATCATCTCACCTACCCCTCGCATGCTCACCCACTCGTTCACTCCTCACCTACTCGCCCACTCATCCACGTGTTCGACTCATTAACTCGCCCACACTTCTACAAATCTCAACCTCCTATCAAATCTCAACCCACTAGTTCACTCCTCACCTACTCACCCACTCATCCACGTGCCAGACTCATTAACTCGTCCGCTTACCCGTTCACTCACCCACACTTCTACAAATATCAACCTCCTATCAAATCTCAACCCACTCATCCACGTGTCCGACTCATTAACTCGTCCAGACTTCTACAAATCTCAACCTCCTATCAAATCTCAACCCACTCGTTCACTCCTCACCTACTCACCCACTCATCCACGTGTCCGACTCATTAACTCGTCCACTTACCCGTTAGCTCGCCCACACTTCTACAAATCTCAACCTCCTATCAAATCTCAATCCACTCTTTCACTCCTCACCTACTCGCCCACTCATCCACGTGTCCGACTCATTAACTCGTCCACTTACCCGTTAGATCACTCACACTTCTACAAATCTCAACCTCCTATCAAATCTCAACCCACTAGTTCACTCCTCACCTACTCACCCACTCATCCACGTGCCCGACTCATTAACTCGTCCACTTACCCGTTCACTCACCCACACTTCTACAAATCTCAACCTCCTATCAAATCTCAACCCACTCGTTCACTCCTCACCTACTCACCCACTCATCCACGTGCCAGACTCATTAACTCGCCCACTTACCCGTTCACTCACCCACACTTCTACAAATCTCAACCTCCTATCAAATCTCAACCCACTAGTTCACTCCTCACCTACTCACCTACTCATCCACGTGTCCGACTCATTAACTCGTCCACACTTCTACAAATCTCAACCTCCTATCAAATCTCAACCCACTCGTTCACTCCTCACCTACTCGCCCACTCATCCACGTGTCCGACTCATTAACTCGTCCACTTACCCGTTAGCTCACCCACACTTCTACAAATCTCAACCTCCTATCAAATCTCAACCCACTCTTTCACTCCTCACCTACTCACCCACTCATCCACGTGCCAGACTCATTAACTCGTCCACTTACCCGTTGGCTCGCCCACACTTCTACAAATCTCAACCTCCTGTCAAATCTCAACCCACTCTTTCACTCCTCACCTATTCACCCACTCATCCACGTGTCCGACTCATTAACTCGTCCACACTTCTACAAATCTCAACCTCCTATCAAATCTCAACCCACTCTTCCACTCTTCACCTACTCACCCACTCATCCACGTGTCCGACTCATTAACTCGTCCACTTACCCGTTAGCTCGCCCACACTCCCACAAATCTCAACCTCCTATCAAATATCAACCCACTCGTTCACTCCTGACCTACTCGCCCACTCATCCACGTGTCCGACTCATTAACTCGTCCACTTACCCGTTAGATCACTCACACTTCTACAAATCTCAACCTCCTATCAAATCTCAACCCACTCGTTCACTCCTCACCTACTCACCCACTCATCCACGTGTCCGACTCATTAACTCGTCCACTTACCCGTTAGATCACACACTTCTACAAATCTCAACCTCCTATCAAATCTCAACCCACTCGTTCACTCCTCACCTACTCACCCACTCATCCACGTGTCCGACTCATTAACTCGTCCACTTAGCCGTTAGCTCGCCCACACTCCTACAAATCTCAACCTCCGATCAAATCTCAACCTCCTATCAAATCTCAACCCACTCGTTCACTCCTCACCTACTCGCACACTCATCCACGTGTCCGACTCATTAACTCGTCCAGACTTCTACAAATCTCAACCTCCTATCAAATCTCAACCCACTAGTTCACTCCTCACCTACTCACCCACTAATCCACGTGTCCGACTCATTAACTCGTCCACTTAGCTGTTAGCTCGCCCACACTTCTACAAATCTCAACCTCCTATCAACTCTCAACCCACTCTTTCACTCCTCACCTACTCACCCACTCATCCACGTGTCCGACTCATTAACTCGTCCACTTACCCGTTAGCTCGCCCACACTCCCACAAATCTCAACCTCCTATCAAATCTCAACCCACTCGTTCACTCCTGACCTACTCACCCACTCATCCACGTGTCCGACTCATTAACTCGTCCACTTACCCGTTAGCTCACCCACACTTCTACAAATCTCAACCTCCTATCAAATCTCAACTCACTCGTTCACTCCTCACCTACTCGCCCACTCATCCACGTGTCCGACTCATTAACTCGTCCACTTAGCCGTTAGCTCGCCCACACTCCTACAAATCTCAACCTCCGATCAAATCTCAACCTCCTATCAAATCTCAACCCACTCGTTCACTCCTCACCTACTCGCACACTCATCCACGTGTCCGACTCATTAACTCGTCCAGACTCCCACAAATCTCAACCTCCTATCAAATCTCAACCCACTCGTTCACTCCTGACCTACTCACCCATTCATCCACGTGTCCGACTCATTAACTCGTCCACTTACCCGTTAGCTCACCCACACTTCTACAAATCTCAACCTCCTATCAAATCTCAACTCACTCGTTCACTCCTCACCTACTCGCCCACTCATCCACGTGTCCGACTCATTAACTCGTCCACGTACCCGTTAGCTCGCCCACACTCCTACAAATCTCAACCTCCGATCAAATCTCAACCTCCTATCAAATCTCAACCCACTCTTTCACTCCTCACCTACTCACCCACTCATCCACGTGTCCGACTCATTAACTCGTCCACGTACCCGTTAGCTCGCCCACACTTCTACAAATCTCAACATCCGATCCCACGGTCTCTTTGGTGGCAGGACAAAATAAACACACGCACACGCCTGGAAGTCCACCGGGTGAGCTCTGGCGAGCCACGAGGTACTCACCCTGGAGTTGGCGTAGGGGAACACCATTCCAAGCGTGTAGAGACCAAGCAGGGGACCCCCCATCATGCCGAATATGCTGAGCGCCGCCTGCAGCAATCGGCCCAGCAAACACGCGCATCACGTGGGGTGTCCTCACCTGCCCGGGGCCGCGCTCACACCTGTATGAGGCCGTGCTTCATCAGGGCTCGCCCCCCTCGCCCCCCTCGCCCCCTCGACCTCGTCTCGAACCTCGCAGTCACGGCCGCGCATCGTCCCAACGCGGCAGCGGCATCATCGTCATCATCGTCATCATCATCAGCGTCATCATCATCATCGTTATCATCATCGTCGTCATCATCATCAACATCGTCATCATCATCATCGTCATCATCATCGTCATCATCATTGTCGTCATCATCATCGTCATCATCATCGTCAACATCATCATCATCATCATTGTCAGTGTCATCGTCGTCATCATCGTCATCATCATCATCGTCGTCATCATCATCATCATCATCGTCGTCAGTGTAATCGTCGTCATCATCGTCATCATCATCATCGTCGTCATCATCATCATCGTCGTCAGTGTCATCGTCGTCATCATCATCGTCGTCATCATCATCATCATCGTCGTCAGTGTCATCGTCGTGATCATCGTCATCATCATCATCGTCGTCGTCATCATCATCGTCGTCATCATCATCGTCATCGTCATCATCATCGTCATCATCATCGTCGTCATCATCGTCGTCGTCAGCGTCATCGTCAGCGTCAGCGCTAACCGGTGCAGCGGCCTAGCGCTACGCTGCGCTACGAACCCGGCGAGCCGAGTTCGACTCCCGCTCACGGCCAACACCGCCAGTGACGATTATCTGAACCGTTCCTAAAGCCCTCCCCTAGGTCGACTCGGACTCAAATGAGTACCTCGTTTGCGGTGTGGAAAAATCATCGCCACTTGGGGAGACAAAGGCGGCCGGGCGTGGTGCTGGCCACCCTCCCCATTCGTGTGCCACAGTGCCGGTAGCTTTCATACAGTAGGTGCTGCTCGCTAACAGCACTTGCCCCGACGCTGCCCTCTGGGACACTGCCCTGTGACGCTGCCCCCTGGGACGCTGCCCTGAGATGCTGCCCCCTGGGACGCTGCCCCCCTGTGATGCTGCCCCCCTGTGACGCTGCCCCCCTGTGACGCTGCCCCTGGGACGCTGCTCATGTGACGCTGCCCCCCTGTGACGCTGCCCCCCTATGACGCTGCCCCCCTGTGACGCTGCCCCTGGGACCCTGCCCTGAGATGTTGCCCTCTGGGACGCTGCCCATGTGACGCTGCCCCCCGGGACGCTGCCCCCCTGTGACGCTACCCCTGGGACCCTGCCCTGAAATGTTGCCCCCCTGGGACGCTGCCCCTGGGACCCTGCCCTGAGATGTTGCCCTCTGGGACACTGCTCATGTGACGCTGCCCCCTGTGACGCTGCCCCCCTGTGGCGCTGTCCCTGGGACACTGCCCATGTGACGCTGCCCCCCGGGACGCTGCCCCCCTGTGACGCTGTCCCTGGGACACTGCCCATGTGACGCTGCCCCACTGTGACGCTGTCCCTATGACGCTGCCTCTGAGACGCTGGCCCCTGGGGGGGAGGGGGGGGGTGAGGGGTACGCTGCCCTCACCTGCAGGAGGCTGCCCATGACGGACGCCAGCACAGCCATGGCTATGCACACGACGCCGTAGAGGAGGCCTGGTGGGGGTGGGGTGGGTGGTGGAGCGGGGATCAGAGCGCTTCGGGTTACCAGGAGAGGTTTCGCGTGACACGCCACGTGGCGATAGGCAATCTGCCTCTGCTGATGTTTGTTGTTATCGTTTGAAGTTGATGTTGTTGTTCATTGTGTAAACATTTTTATTTTTAAAGAGAAAAACAGCCCGGTTCCCGAGGGAGCTGCGCTACTTTTCGTCTTGGGCTAGCCAGCCAGAATCGAATTTGAAGCCATTGTCAAGTGTCAGACAACAGCAGCAGCGGCGGTGATGCAGGTGGTGCACGCCAAGGGATCCGGGTTTTGCCCATACTGGGAGTCATCAGCAAAGCGTGAGCCAGGAAAGATTTCGCGTGTGACACACCACGTGGCGCTCGGCAATCTGCCTCTGCTGCTGCTGTTTGTTGTTGTTGTCGATGTCGTTGTTGTTGCTGTGCATTGTGCAAAAAAAAATGTTAAAAGAGAAGAACAGCCATGAGTGGTTTCCGGAGGAGCTGTGTTCGTCTTCACTTGGCACAGCCGTCAGAATCAAATTTGACAGAAAGCAGCAGCAGCAGCGGCAGCAGCGGCAGCGAACATGCACGCGGTGTTTTTTTTTATTCGTCCATACTAGGAGTCATCAGCGCAGCGTGAGCCATCCCTCTATCGCTGCCGCTGCCGCCGCTGCTGCTGAACGGTCACAGCCGCTCGAATTTATTTTGCCGACGACGAACAACGATCTAAGACAACGCGAAATACATTTCAGGAAGCGCTGATGGTTTTTTTTTGTCTTCCCACCGAGTGCATTTGCTCACGCACCACGTGTCTGCCAGCGGGGTTCATTTTGAGACTCGCGGTTGCCCGCGCTATGATCCCTGGGTTCTCATCATCATCATCGTCGTCGTCGTCGTCAAGTGCAGAAGCGATTGTTATCGCAGGGGCCGCGCTGTCTGCGACTTGCAGCCAGAGCCCCCGTCCCAACGAGGCCCGAAACCCGGCCATGCAAGTTGGGATGGCGGTCTCTGCTGATGAGTCCCAGTGAGGATGAAACCCGGTCCACAAGTCGCGCGCTGTGTCTCACCCGCTGCTCCCTCCCCCCCCCCCCCCCCCCATTGGGATGGCGGTCTCTGCTGATGAGTCCCAGTGAGGATGAAACCCGGTCCACAAGTCGCGCGCTGTGTCTCACCGCTGCCCTCATTCGCACGGCGGTCCGCGCTGATGAGTCCCAATGAGGACGATACCCGGCCAACAGTCGCGGCTTTGTCTCACCGCTGCCCCGGTTAGCACGGCGGTCCGCGCTGATGAGTCCCAATGAGGACGAAACCCGCCCACAGTCGCGGCTTTGTCGCACCGCTGCCACCGTTCGGATGGCGGTCTGCGCTGATGAGTCCCAATGAGGACGATACCCGGCCCACAGTCGCGGCTTTGTCTCACCGCTGCCCCGGTTTGCACGGCGGTCCGCGCTGATGAGTCCCAATGAGGACGAAACCCGGCCCACAGTCGCGGCTTTGTTTCACCGCTGCCCCGGTTCGCACGGCGGTCCGCGCCAACGATTCCGCGCGAGTCGCTCGCTTAAAACGGACACCGCGTGGCCGAGCGGGCAACCGCGGGCACTGCTCCTGGCACAGCTGAAGGCACCAAAAAAAGGGGGGGCCCCCCACCAACCCCCCACCCCACCCCCTTCGCGCCCCCCACCCCCCCCCCCGTTACGTACTCGCGGCCATTGAGAGGCGGGAGAGGGTGCGTGGGTCGAGCCCCGGGCAGCACGGCCTGACGAGGTCCTCCACCGTCACGGCAGCTAGAGCGTTGATGCTGGAGGAGACCGTGCTGAGCACGTGGGGGGGGGTAGGACGTGGGGGGAGGGGGGGTAGGGGAGGGGGTAGGAAGTGGGGGGAGGGGGGGGTAGGGGCGGGGGGTAGGACGTGGGGGAGGGGGGGTAGGGGAGTATGACGTGGGGGGAGGGGGGTAGGACGTGGGGGGGGGGGGGTAGGAAGTGGGGGGAGGGGGTTAGGACGTGGGGGGAGGGGGGTTAGGAAGTGGGGGGAGGGTGGTAGGACGTGGGGGGAGGGGGGTGGGACGTGGTGGTGGAGGTGAGGTTTGACATGGAGGGGGGGGGGTAGGTCGTAGTGGGGAGAGGGGGGGAGGTGACACGAAGACAAAGTTTCTGGTTATCGCCTGATGAAGCAGGTTCTAGTCGTAGTCGTCGTCATCATCCGACGAATCGTCACGGTCCTCGCAGCGCACCCCACGTGCGCGGGCCCCCCCCCCCCCCCCACTCTCCGGCAAACACCGCAGCGACATGCGCGCATTGCGTCGGCCTGGAAGCCCCCCTTCTTCTCCTTCCCCGCGCCGTAGGATTGCGCCCCGCGTTGAGCCCTCGCTCCGGGACGTCGCTTCCATCTCTCCCTCTCTCCCCCTCTCTCTCTCTGGCTCAGGAAAGCGGTTCGCAAATCCCATCGTGAACTCGACGAAGTCCGTGGACGCATCTTGCCCCCGGGCCTTACACCATCGTCACGCTGAAAACCCACACGTTACCACCCCCACCCACACACACACACCCCCTCTCAAGGTCCACTAAGATCCTCTGTCGGGAATTCCGAGCTCGAGGATTCTGTGGCCGACCGCGATGTAGTCCCTTCCCCCCCCCCCCCCCCCCCCCCCCCCGTGTAAACCCCCAGGCTGTGGGACGTTCTTCCACGAGACATCAGAAGGATCTCGATCTCTCTCTCTCTCTGAGTCATTATTTTTGGGCAAAGTTTTCTGACGCAGCTGCTGCTGCTGTGTCCTGTACAGCGCTTTGACATCGTTGATGAATAGCCGCTCTATAAATGGAATTACAATGATCGTTGTTGTTTTTATTATCATTGCTTACCGGTGTATACCAAAACTGGGTAACGCGCTGGCCACGTATTGTCTACGAGACGAACCTTTTACTCATTGGCTTCGTGTGTCGGCGTTGGCGGCGGGGTTTAACGACGCGAAATTTATATTCAACCTCATCGTAATAATAATAACAGCAGCAGCAGCAGTAGCAGCACAACGTTCAACGCATTAATCATTAAACACTCGTTTGTCTATCAATGATGACAACAGCAGTAGTTGCTGTTCAGGAACCGGGTGCCAATGTTGAGATCTGCTGCTGGCCAATACGAGAGTGGCTTCAGCAGAGAGAGAGAGAAAAAGTTCGCATACCGTGTCAACCCACACGGTTTAACCCGGTATTCTTGTACAGAGGAAATGAGTTTTCAGGTCCATACGGCGTTACAGCCGTTTTAATACGGGCAAAACAAAAATTGCCTATTTGTCTGTGTTTCTCCCTTGTGATGGGACTTTGTAGGATGAACGTTGAGATTTTTAAGGGCACGTGGTGACCAATAAATTCTGAATTGGTCTGTAACAAGGTAGGGCACTGATAAGGGATGACAGGCTGAGTTCATGTCGTGCTGCTGTTCTTCCCTCGAAGGAGGACAGGCCACACGTGGGTTTAATACGCGATCTCTGTGGGTCTCCCTGGGTCTCCATGCGTCTCTTACTATCTCTATCGGTCTCTATGGGGACCTTTGTCTCCCTAGTGTCAGGTGTTCACACACCCGCAGCAGGTACTTCACTGAAAGCTGAGCACACGCACGCACGCACGAACGCACGCACAGACACACTCCACGTGGTCAAGATCCACTTGTGTTCATGTTTAATCTGCTAGGGGCAAAGTGCTTTTGAAGGAGGCTTCGTGTCAAATGGATGTTCTTTCTCAGTCGTCTCACCTGCCCTGCTGCCCCCAGTCACTCTCTCACTCGCTCCTGTGCTCCCCCAGTATCGGAGAGAATAATAATACGAACAATGAAGTGGATTTATAAGGCGCACTTGAACAATGGGGGGCTTGAGAACACCCGTGCCTCTAGAGGACTTAAGCCTCCTTCATCTCCTTACGTGTGACATTTGACTGGGGTGGGGGGGGGAGGGATTGCAAACAGATTACAAATCAATGCCTACATTTGATTTCCTAAAATGGGACCTTTATTTTGTTTGTTTTGCAAGTATCAAAGGTACGAAAAAATAAGAATAGGCATTGTACCCTTCTTGGAAATAAAACACGAGACGTATTAAGATGTTCAGACACCGAATATAAATCTTTTGCACGGAATAAAGTGACTGCGTTAACCACACACAGTGCTTGTGGTGAACATGCAAACAAACGCGGCTCTGATAACACATGGGCATCGCCTTTGACACTGATTGGCCTACGCTGATAGCGGCATTGTACTTGTACCGTTCGCCTTTTGCGCGTCGTTCTCTGGTCTGACACCGGCGGTGAGACTGGGTCGTAAATAATGCCGCTCGTCTCTGGCGTAGGCCGATCGGTGTCAAAGACAATGCCCAATATATAATTATCAGGGCTTGATTGCATGCTTAACGCAGTTACTTGAGTCCGTGCAAAATATTTATATTCGGTGTCTGGACAGAAGATGGATTCTGGCTTAGCAAGATGGATTCTGGAATAGCAATCCTTGGAAGGATTTGATAAACCATTTCGGATCTTAATTGATTGTTCACGCTTACGGTGGCTTTCAGACCGCATACATTAATTTTCGTTTCCCCCCTCCTCTTTTTCGAACATAGATGGACTCGTCCATCTGAACAAACTGTCAAATGGCTCTCCGTGGTGCTAGCGTTAAATAAAAAACGCCACTTTTTCAAACTTTCTTGCTGTGGTTTTCACACCTGATGATGATTGCTTGTGTTGCAGTCGAAACGTCGTGAGAATTTTATTGTTTTATAATTTATATTATTTCATTGTTTCACTTCTTCGTGACTTTACCGAAAGAACCAAAGAAGATGGATCCTTGCAGTCGCGAAAGCTTTAAATAAAAAAATACATCTTCTTTGGGTCTTTCGATGAAGTCACGTAGAATGAGAATAAAATAATAAAATAACACAATAAAATTCTCACGACGTTTCGGCCACAACGCAAGCGGACGTCTTCAGGTGAAAGGTACAGATCTGTCGGGACGACAGAGCTTCAATGAACGATGTTAAGATTCGTAGCGACTTTTAAAGTGAGGCACCTTGACAAAGGGGTTTACATATCAAATAGCTGAGGGATTAGCTTGTGACTGGTCACAGGAATGGCTATGTTAAAGTCAAAACCTACACATCCACAGAGGCAACTAGTAATTTAGCATTGAAATAGCGAAGGGATTACCTTGTGCAAATAGCTGAGGGATTAGCTTGTGACTGGTCACCTTTGCCAAGGTGCCTCACTTTAAAAGTCGCTACGAATCTTAACATCGTTCATTGAAGCTCTGTCGTCCCGACAGGTCTGTACCTTTCACCTGAAGACGGCCGCTTGCGTTGTGGCCGAAACGTCGTGAGAATTTTATTGTGTTAATTTATTTTATTATTTTATTCTCATTCTACGTGACTTTACCGAAAGAACCAAAGAAGATGAATCCTTGCAGTCGCGAAAGCTTTAAATAAAAAAAACCTATTCTTATTTCCCATACCTTTGATTCTGGCAAAAAACGTATCCCACCATATAGCTGCTCACCCCTAGCTATAAATGCCCTGATAGTGGCATTGGCTTTTTGGCGTCGTTCTCTGATCTGACACCGGTGGTGAAACTCGGGCCTGAAGAATGCTGCTCGTCTCTGGCGTAGGGACAATTCAGTTTCCTTCTACGAGTTTTAAAATGTTGATTTGAAGCTTTCGCGACTGCGGAGATCCACGCTCTTTGTTTCTTTCGGTAAAGTCACGTGGGTTAGAAAAAAACAATAAAATGAAACACAAAAACATAAAATACGTCACGACGTTTCGAACCGCGACACAAGCGGTCGTCCTCAGGGATGAAAAAAAACCCCGATAATCCAGCAGTGGAACTGCTGAACCAGGGAGAGAGCGGCTACAACAAGGACGTTATTTATTTTATGAGTTTTAAATAGCTGAGCCCAGAACGGCAATGACCTGGGCAATCTCCAAGGTTTGCCCAGGTCACCGTCGAAGACACCGGGTAATGCCGTCCAGAACGTCAGGATGTTGCGACGTACGCTGCGAGGGCGGATGTGGAATTAAAATAAAAACTATTTGAGATGTCTAGATATTTAAGAAAAGAAAAGGGGCAGCCGGCGTGGCATTGGTCTGAGATCGCCGTCGAATGATCTGATTGGGGCGCAGCGCGTTCACGATATCGTGCGGATGCCTGAGATGTTGCAACGTCTCAGAGCGGAGACGTTGCAACAATAAAAAGAACAAAGAGGAACAGCTGATCCCCAGTAGCCGGCGTCTCGCACGTGGCAGCGACCCAACTCAGCACGTGGCAGGGGGCCTCCTCCAGCAGCAGCATCGCTTCTCGTAAACTCGTACACACAAAGATACAAAGATCCCCCATATAGCCTTAACAGACTGTAGGGGCAGGTTCTGTTAGCGAGCAACTATGAAGGTCGGAACGGTACACGAGGGGGTGGGTGGCCAGCACCACGCCCGACCGTCTTTGTCTCCCCAGTGGCGATGTTTACACACCGCACCAGGTACTCATTTGAGGCTGAGTCGACCTAGGGGAGGCCCGGGACCGGTTCAGATAATCGTCACTGGTGTTGGCCGTGAGCGGGAATCGAACCCGGGTCGCCAGGTCCATAGCGCAGCGCGCTAACCGCTACACTACCGCTCCCCACACACACACACCCACCCACACACACACACCCACACCCACCCACACACACACACCCACACACACACACCCACCCACACACACACACCCACACCCACCCACACACACACACCCACACACACCCACACCCACACACACACACCCACACATACACCCACACACACAC